AGGGCCCAGTGCTAATAATGTATTAGAAGCCAGGGGCCTCAAACCAGACCAACAACCCACGGCAAAGCACACTTACACGTAGTGATGCATGCACTAAAGGGTAAATCACTCTGTCATACTACAGCATCCACGCTGAGATTTTTCCCCCCTTTTGGTTGGTTGGTTTTCTTTTTTTTTCCTTTGGTTTTAGTTTTCAATTTTTCAATTTTTTCTCGGGGGGAGGTTGGACTGCAAGGGCGATAAGCTGGGGAGATGTATGGGATCGAAACACATGTAGAATCCACAAAGAATCAATAAAAAGTAAAAATAAAAAAAATCAAAAAAGCTAGAGAGACTAATTTTTAAAAAGCAACTCTTTACACCTTTAAGATAAAAGATTGTTGTAATTATCTATGCTCTCTAGTAACAAAGGAAAACAAAGTCTAAAGCACTCCTTGTAAAGGAGTTGCATTTCATAGTTATATACTTAAGGAAAAAATGTCATAGGATCCAAATTATGCGTGGAAATGTAAGTCACCTTTAAAATACAGTCTATAACGTTTGCAGACTATGTTACTGGCAGAGCCTCGATATGTCCAACACAGCCAGCTTTTCTTTCACTATTGGAACAGATGGCCATTCTTTGGTTGAGCACCAGATGAAGTTGTTGGCTTGCATTTGAGGCCATCTTGGGGAAAAAAAAAAAAAAAAACACTTATCTTTAAACACTGGAGTCATATTCTGTCTGCAATGAGAAGCTCACAGAACACAGCACAAGATTGTAACCAATGGGGGAATGGTAGATCAGTGCCTCCGTTTACTTAGCAACCACACTAGAAAATAACTGGGCAGGCAGAAGTGATGTGACTTAAGTTCTCAGCCTCTTCCTCTCTGGCCCAGCATACAGAGTTAGAATACAAAACCTTAAGTTGCCTCTGAGGTAGCTCTGCTCCTGCCATGAAAGTGGCAATTGTCAAATAAAGTTCTTCAAGTAGAGCTGGGCATATTGGCACATGGCTTTAATCGCAGCACTCAGCGGCAGAGGCAGGTGGATCTGCAAGTTCCAGGCCAACCCAGTCTACAGAGTGAGTTCCAGGACAGCCACCAACACTACACAGAGAAACCCGGTCTCAAAAAAAAAAAAAAAATCAAATAATTCAATTCAAATAACTCAAACCCTACCTCTGGTACCAGTTTCTATTATTGCAATATTCAGATTATAAGAGAAAATCCTGGGTAAATTTACAAGCATAGGGATATTTTTAAAGAAATCTCAGTATCATTACCAAAACTAATAGTTTAAATAGTTTAATATTGTACATCTACATTGGAAATGTTTAGCTACACCATCCATGCTGAAGTGTCTAACAGGCCGCAAGCACCAGTACCATCTCTGAAGGTTTGTGATCCTCAATGTAATCAGCAATACAGACAAAAAAGAAAAAGAAAAGGAAAAGCTGCTTTGGGCAACTTTAACGATGACAACTTAAGAGACGTGCTAACACTTCATCTTCATTTATATAAATAGTAAATAGCCAGCCCTTCCAGATGATAACAGGCATTGTTTGGAGCCACATTTATTCTTCGCAGAAATTTTACAATGAAATCACACTTGGAAGGTAATAGATGGCTAAATTGTTAAGGATACTTTTAAGTAGGACTGGTAATATGACATAGTTGGTAGAGGGCTTGTCTAGCATGAGTAAAGCCCTGGACTTAGTCCCAAGCACCCTACAATTCAATCATGGTAGTGAATGCCTGTAACCCAGAATGCACAAGGCGAAGTTAGGAGAATCGGCGGTGCAAAGTCATCTCTAGCTACATAAAGCATTTAGTGTGTAGTAAATTTGCGGCCAGCTTAGGCTACATAAAACTCTCTTCCAAAAAAAAAAAAAAAAAGAATTTAAAGTCAAATTTTACCTTCATTGTAAACAAATGTTGTCCAAGTGAATGATTTGTATATCATTTACTTAGAGATATGGCTATTACTTGTATTTTTCATATGAGTCTGATGAGTACAAGCCAGGTATCCTGATTCTAAAAAGCAAAAATAATACATTTTGCTCATTAAAAAAAAAACAAAAGCCATGTATGGTGTCACATACCTTTAGTCCTAGTACTGGAGAAGCAGAGGCAGGTGAATCTGTATATCTATGTAAGGCCAGGCCAGTTTACATAACAAGTTCCAGACTAACCAGGGCTACATAGTAAGAGTGACCCCACAAAAAAAGTATTTATTTTTTTCAGTCATGAGTATGTAAGTGTACTTGTGTGTGTGGGTATGTACATGTGAGTGAAGCTGTCCACAGAGAACAGAAGAAGACATTTGTCTTAGTTTCATTGTAAAGAGAATAATAGTTTTTTCTGGATGTGGGGGTACACACACCTGTAATTCTAGTTCCCAAGACAACAAGAAGGTCTAGTTTAAAGCCAGTCTGGACCATGTGATAAGAGCTTGTCACAAACAACAAACAATAACAAAACCCAGAAATAATTACACAAAACCCTTGATATAATAGGAATTGTGGTATATGCTTTTTAACCCAAGCGTGCTTGTACACACACACACACACACACACACACACACACACACACACACACACGCGCGCGCGAGAATGGACCAACAGTTATGCAGGTATGGACCTTTACTTACATACCCTATGTTGCAGGATGAACATGTTTTTCTAAGCATTCTCTAATAATAGGTTTTTTCCATACTACTTTTAAGAAATTGCACATAAGAAAGACTATCAATAAAGGATAAAGATGAAATATTAACCCCATGATAGATAAGCTGAATAGACTGTTTCTGTAACAGTGAGGTATTACAACCAAGTCTTGCAAGAATAGACTAATGCTTATTGAATCTGTGAAAAGTTAGGTTGGAGGCTAAACCTCAGGACCAACTTAATGCTAAACAAGCATACAGCAATCCCAGCCCCCCCCAAAAAAATGTTTTTTTTTAAAACCTAATACTAATATTAGTCTGGTGGACCTGGCTTGCTGGCACACACCTTTAATCCCAGCACTCAGGAGGCAAAAGCAGGTGGATCTCTGTGATCATGAAGCCAGTTTAGTCTACATAAAGTTCTGGTGGACAACCAGGTCTACATACATAAACCCTGTCTTAAACATAAAACAAAATTTAGTCTGACTGAATAGGACGGGGCAGTCATGAAAATAAGAAGAGATGACTCTAGCTGGCAATGCTCATGCAATGTCTAAAGGGCCCAAAGCTTGAAGTCTGAAAATCCAGTTATCCATAGGGAGCAGGTGGTCCCTTTCCACATTGACAACCTGTTTACTCATTTTTTTTTTTTTTTAATTGCCCTGAACCTAATGTTTCTGGCCTCCAGACATCGAGTCTCACTGCTAACAGATGCCTAAATTAAAGCCCCAGACATATCTGTGCTGTGGTTGTAGAGCTACACTGGAGAGGCTCAGCAGGACCTGAGAGGCAGGCTGCCTCAGACAAGACTCATGCTGGACTGCCTAGGTTCCTGGCTTCAGTCACCTGACACTCAACCGCTAAATCCTTCATCTTTTCCTGCCTGTAAGATGCTAATTTAGTGACGAGTGCTTACCTTGGCTTTTAAAAATGTGTAGTTCTACTACAGTGCCCTGGAACATGATTTGCTGTATGCCTCTCCTGAGCATGACTCTATTATACATTAAAAATTCAGACTTGGGGTGAGGGGTGGAAATCCCAGCACTCGGGAGGCAGATGATCTCAGTGAGTTTGAGGCCAGCCTGGTCTACAGAGCTAGTTCCAGGACAGCCAAAGCTACACAAAGAAACGCTGTTTAACAAACAAAAACCCTTGGACTTAAACTTGGTGGCTGCTGTAAAGGACTGCAGATGGCAGTGAAGGTTTAGACATTATCTACACAAAAGCACCAGATCCTGGCATCAAAGTGAACCTGGGCTCTCTCTACCAGATAAATCCCCACCAGAACTAGTTATAACTGGAATCAGAAAGAAAAAGCAAGCATCACAAAGTGACTGCAGGACTCGTCTCTTCACTGTATTTAGTATCTCGTGTGGTCAGTTACTCATCAAATTTGCACTTATTCTGTCTGCATTGAGTTTTTAATCACTGGATGCTTCCAGAAGTAGAGTTTGGGCCATGTTTGGGTCGATGACCCTACCACAGCCAGGGTCTGTGTTGATGTCCATGGTTCCTGATCCACCGAAGGCCATGCAGATGCCAGGGGTCTGGACAGCCACCTGGGGCCATGTTGGTGTCTGAGGGCTTACTGCCATGGGGGCTGTGCCAATCTGTGTGGCCTGCACTGCCACCTGGAGTGACCATGGTGCACCATGGTGACATCCAAGCTGCCAAAAAACATGTCTGAGTCCATGGTCCTACCATAGCTGGGGTCTATATTGATGTCTGTGGTCCCTATTGCTGCCGAGGCCCATCAGATACTCAGAGGCTGAGCAGCCACCTAAGACCATCTTGGTGTCCAAATACTGACTGGAGATCCTGTGTTGCCACTGGGACCATAGTGATTTTGGGGCCCAAGCTACTGCTAAAGGCCATGTCTGGGTCCGTGGTCCTGATGCAGCTGGGGTCTGTGATAATGTCCACGGCCATATTAACACAGGGAGTCACAAGAACCATGTGTTGAAATCCCAGGACTGTGCTGAGCCGGCCCTGTTCTTCTTCACTGAGATAGCTGGCTCCACCCTTCACCTCAGTGCATAGCAGAGCTGGTCCCAACAGATGGCCTGAGCCTAGGAGAGCTAGCTCCACACCCCACCTGAGGGGGCAGTTCCAGCAACCCAGCCTAATGAGCTCAGCTCCCTTCCAGACCCACATCCTGGGCCTGGGATTGGCCCACCCTAACATCTATCCCATCTATGACCTGCTGGAGTGTGTGAAGGGCCTGGTCCTGCAGAATGACAGCCGCAGGATATCCATGACTCAGGGCAACAGGGTATCCAAGAAGAGTTTCAGTGAGAGATAGACATATGTACAAATAAATAGATAAATGATATTTTAAAATTACAATATCCACTCAATTTTCATTGTTATTTTATTATTTTACAATATATTTCAAAAACTGCCATTACAGTCGCCTTGACTCCTCTGAGAGTCCTGGAATAAAGGAACACCTACATACACATAAACATCAGTTCAAAATATAAACTGTCCTGACCATCACTACCAAAGGGCTATAGCTTTTAAATAAATGTGTGACAATGCAAAATAAAATAAAAATGTGTTAGAATATAAAGTAAACTTTGCTTTAATGACAATAGAAAAGAGGTGGTTCTGTTGTTTTATTTTCAACACATCTGATTCTGGCAGCAAGTAGTATTATGTGTTAGCAATGTGCTCTGCTTTTTTTTTGTGCCTACTACTTGATCAGAGATCAGACATGTGGAAAAACGATCTAAATGTCTTCAACACCCTCATCCAGAAAGCCACAATGAGCTTCTGGGTTTGTTGACTTTCCTTTTAGAAATCCAGCTACATCTATTTTCACATCAACATCACTAAGAACTAACAGGAAGAAACTGCAGTCACCTCATCACCATGAAGAGCTGCTGTGTGCGCCTTGTCTGATCTTGGACACAAATGGGTAGCACACTGCTAACACGTAATACTACTTGCTGCCAGAGTCAGATGTGCTGAAAATAAAGCACCACCTCCTTTCTATAGCATTGAAGCTGGATTTCTAAAGAGAAAGCCACAATGTTAATGAACTCAAAAGCTCTCACACGCTTAGTATTTTATGATGATTTTCCCCCTGGTAACACTGGACAATTTCAATTTTCTCTAGAAGAGAAACAACAAGAACACAAGGAAACTCTCCAGAGTCCAACTTCAGTTCACATTCTCCATGTAGCAAAAGAGCAGCTCTACACGATGACAAAGGTGACTGCAGTTTCTTCCTGTCAGTTTTAGTGATATTGACATAAAAACAGATTTAGCTGGATTTCCAAAAAGAAAATATTGGTTGTCAAATATTTTAGGATCTTAAGAAAGCATCACAAGCATGTAATTCAGTCTTAAAAAAAAAAAAAAAAGAAAGAAAGAAAGAAACATGTGTGCATTTATGTTATCTTACCTTTACTGAAGTCATTTCTCTCTTTCTGATTAGACATGAAAAAATAAGACTAAGTGACCAGCGCTGGCTTTCTTTCTCTAGAAGCAACAATTTGGGGTTTTATTGTTTTATTCAATTTGACTGCACAAAAAGGCAATAAAAAAAAAAAATCTCTGGAATGGGCATGTAGCAGACAGTTTATGTCTGAAGTCAGACTAACCAAGTGGCAATGCAGCATTCAAGGAATCCAACTTAGTTTTCAAGTTTGTCAGCTCTTTAAACTATTCACTATTGCTTTTCTTGCCAGGCTGTGGTGGCGCACACCTTTAATCCCAACACTCCGGAGGCAGAGGCAGGCAGATCTCTCAGTTCAAGGCCAGCTGGGTCTACAAAGTCAATTCTAAGACAGCCAGGGCTATACAGAGAAACCCTGTCTTGGGGTGGGTGGGTGGGGGAAATCAAACCTATTACTCTCCTCTAGCAGGACAGTGTCACCACAGGTTACAACTGCTCAAGAGATCACAATGGACTTAATTCTCAAAAGTCACTATGACCTACGTGAACAGGAGTCAATAGAGCCACGCTTGGTCACATTCAAACTCTCCCAAGAGTACTTTGCTGCTGTTCATATCCCTGTTGTCTTAACTGGTTCACAGTAACCTTCCTTATTAAATTATAGCAAGTAAGATTGTAAGGTTTTTTTTTTTTTTTTTTTTGGTAGAATTTTTTTTTTTTAGGTACTGCTATATCCAAATGAATATAATTCCATTTGCAAAATGCCATTAATAATGTCCTTTCTATAAACATGGTTGGCAAAACAAAAAAGGCACAGAAGGGGGATAACTAGGTATGTTTCAACTTTCAGAGACGGTACCAAAGCACATGTCACGTATCGTTCATGAAGAAAAGCTGCTAAAAATTCATGCACAACTTGAGCTATGCAAAACTTCTCTTCAGAAAACTCCTGAGGCTTGAGGAGAAAATGAGTTTTCCTAGTCACATGCTTCATGTAAAACAGAATATAAAGCTGCACGTACATTTGGTTTTAACAGTGGACCCATGTTTTTCAAAAAATAGGCAATTAAGCAAAGGAAAACAATACCAAAATACCTTCACAAACCAATTCCACAGCAGCTCTGTCTGTCCTGTTTACCAATCGGTGGGGAAAATGTCCAGTCAAATGTAAAATGCAGCATATGCAGTCATGTAATCTAGAAACTTTCCATGATAACCTATTGCAAATTGCACTTGACAGTTCATCAAAACAATGGAAAGCTGGCCCCCTGTTGATTTGCACAGTCCTTGAGCCCCAAGCTGAAGTTGAAGTCACCAGTAAAATGATCTGGATAAAAAGTTTGCAGCTGTGCTCAACCAGCTGGCTCCACCCTCGGGGTGTGAGCCAACCCTGGACACTGCCTTATCCTGTTCCTTTGTGGGGCTCTCGTCCTCAGGAAGGTAGTCAGGCAGCTCTGTGTTCTCTTCCACTTCCACAGGGGCATCTTGGAAAGGGACCAGCATCTGACACACAGAGAGGCATGAGGATCCATTAGGAACCCAACCTAACATGACATCATCCATGCCCTAAGTCACATCCTCAGCCTAAGCATCGTCTTCATCCCAGAACTCTCACATGACACTCTAGGAACTGAGTACTCTGTCAGCATCGAGGAGAGTGTGGCTGCCGTCTAGTGGGGTTCTAGGACAGAAACAGTTAAACACATGCAGGGCCACTCTGAAGCCCTGGAGTGCCACAAAGCTGCTCATCTGTAGAAACCAAAGAGACTCACAGCTTACATACCCATCCCTCCTCACAGACCAAGAGTTCGCCATATTTACTATTCAAAGAGACTACTTTCATTTTCTTGCAGACACAAAAGTAGTTCTAGTTAGAAAGGAGTCCTGAAAGGCAATGCAGGACACTGTCATTTACCTACATATACAATCTGCACCACACCTCCACCAAGGTCACAGCTTTCTTTACAACACTCTAAACTTCACAAAAGATCTCTCTATACTCCTAAGATGGATATTAACTATTAATCAAGATAAACCACATCTTTCCACTTCATAACTATGCCTCTACGGATGCTATAATCCACTACCCATTAAAAAATCAAGACCCCAGTTCGCTAAGAATGAAATAAAGTAAAGCCTTACCTCTTCTCCACTTTCGCTCTTTACAACCTGCTGCGCTTTCATGACCTTGGTTGATGCGATTGCTGACGCCAGAGCCTGGGATAAAAAGATACAAGGAACAATTCTGAATGATGACTTGCTTACTTCCAACTTCAAGCCCATTCAGTCATTCAAAGTACTAACCTCTGCTTTCAAATCTGATCGGATTCGCACCACACATCTTTGTACAGCCATTTGAAAAGTAAAGCTAATAACACCTTTAATTTTTAACAAAGCCTCTTCGCACAGATTTCTTCGAGACTGAAAAGGTGAAAGCAAACTGTTATTAAAACAGGAAGAGGAAATAAATCAACTTAAGCCACACTGACCACTCATTCGTGTGGATGCTGTCACTGTAAAAACACCACAGAACAATCAAACAGACACGGCAAAGCCTACTACACACAGACCGACACAGCAAGTCCTCCACAACAGCTTATTCCTACACTGCGCACTGCAGGGAACTGAATAGGGCAGGTACCTGTCTGTCTACCTAAGCATATCTAATCCCATCGCACCAAAGTGACATGCGTGGTCCACCACTGGCAGAGACACGAAACATTATCACGTGTTATTTGGTATAGGGCTAGGTCTGCATAGGAAAGGAGGCAAAGTTACAACACAACACTAATTCCTGAAATATTTCAAATGTCAATATTAATATGTAGTTTTAGTAATTGTCACCCAATGCTAATTTATATTATAAGAAGAACAAGTAAATAACAAAACAAAGTGCTCAGAAACTGAAAAGTTGCAGTTCCTCGAGTTTGAGGGTACAAGCTGCAGTCCGTAAGCCATTTTTGTCAAGTTCTACTGGGACAGCCACATTCATTTACTCACATATACTGATTTCAGTTTCATACTAAGTCAGAGCTGGCAACTATAACAGAGACCATATATGGTGGGCCTAACATTCACTCCCTAGCCCTCTATTCTAGTTTAAATCTCAAAGCTTAAGCTAGAATTAAAAGAATTCAGTGTTTGAGTCATTGTCCCTTATAAATATCATTTCATCCTTCATCCGTGGCACTCCCAATGGCTTCCAATGCAATGCCAAGCACTATCAATATTCTCTCGTGGCTTTCATTTTCCTCTGCTGGTACCCACATGGCCTCCGATAGTTTAAAAGCCAGGGTACTAGATACCTGTCCTGTGTCTCACTTCCCCACATCTTACTCTACTGTCTCCTCTTGCCCCACTGTCCAGTGCCTGTGACTAAGAAACTGCTTTCTCCTCCGCCCCTAAGGAGACTATACTCATCACTTCAGCTGTATTTCAGCCCATATTTCAAATTTAGGCAAGCACGAGTTTAATCTTACTGTATATAGGCCTTTATTTTTGTAAGTAGTTAGGTTTGAGTGTGCGGTATCCATGGGAGGGGAGGGGATATAAGCATGTATGTATTTGTGTACATGCGCCCAGGAAAGCTTGGAGGATACAGGGGGGCTTTATCACTGTCTGCTCTACTCCTCTGAGACGGGACCTTTCACTTTACCTGGAGATACGGTTACAACCAGCAGGGCCTCGCAATCCTCTGCTCTGGCCCCACAGAGCTGGGGTTCCGTGCAAGCATGCCTGGCTTTGTACATGGGTTCTGAGATTTCAATGCAGGTTCTCATGATTGCACACCAAGTACTCTTACGTACTGAGCTATCTCCCCAACACCTTTTGGATTTTTGTGTTAGCTTTAAAGAAGTCACTGTCATTCATATTCAACAAAATTAACAAGATATACTAGAGATACTTTATGTATATTAATATATTCCATTTAATCAATTTTCATACATCACAAATTTTCTAGAAATGTTTTGGGCTTTGTAGCTCAGTTTCAGTAAGTTAATTGTTAACTTATTTGATGTCTGTCACAGGTAAGGATGTAGAAGTGACCTTCCCCATCACACATACACACTGAACCTCACAACTTTAGCTTTAAACCCTAAGCAAAACACTAGAAAAGGTTGTGGTTACTCTAGAAAATCTACCTAGGCTAGGCATTGGTGGCACACACCTTTAATCCCAGGACTCAGGAGACAGAAGCAGAGACAGGAGGATCTCTGTGAGTTCGAGGCCAGACTGCTCTACAAAATGAGTTCCAGGACAGCCAGGACTGTTAGAGAAACAACCATGTCTTGAAAACGAAAAAGACAAGAAAATCTACGTGGCACAGGTAAAAAAGTAAGTGGTGAATTACCAGTTTAAGCGTCTACCCCTGAATATGTAATATGTAATTTACTCTTGGTCAAGGTAACTCCAATTAAACTGGAGGCATATAGACTAGATTAGGGTTAAACAATTAAAAATACAGAAAAAATATTATATTGGGAGAAAAAAAAAGACAGTGATGCTTAGATGCTTAGATACTGGAAAAGTTACACCTGAGGTATATTAGAACCCAGCACAGAATGTTGAAACTGATGATAATCTTGGCTGTCAGCCTGACTGGACTGAGAAATGCTCCAGATTAGGAAAGCACACTGTGCATGGGACAGGAGAAGAGCTCGAAGGAGCACTGGCTGCTCTTCCAGAGGACCTGGGTTCAAGTCTCAGAATCCACATGGCAGCTCACAACCATCTGTACGACCAGTTCCTGATGATCCATCTGACACTCTCTTTCAGACTCTGTGGGCACTACACATGCAGGCAAAACACTCACAGTATGGTACATATCTAGTATGCTGTTTGTGAGGGCATTTGCAGAGAATTCTCCAAAAGGAGTATGACCCCCTCTGAACAGAGATGCACCATCCCATATGCCGCGGTCCTGGGTAGAATAAAAATGGAAAAGAAGACAGCCCCACCAGACATTCCCTGCTTCTGAGATGACCCGCCTCCTCTATCTGCCTGCAATGATACAGCGTGTGTGTTAGGCCCAAGGTCTCAGGATTCAGGAACCAGGAACTGAAAATTGTAAATCTAAATAACCCACTCCTTCCTTGAGTTATTTCTGTTAAATATTTGCCCCAGCAACAAAAAGTCTAACAGAAATCAGCAACCTCCCTGAGCTGAGGACATAGTCAAGAACCCAGAGAGGTTAAAGCAACTCTAGTTCTCAGGACAAAGCAGACCAAGAATGAGAAGAGGACACAGAGGAGACCACAGAGTAAAGATTAGAGTCACCCTCATTTTGAGCCGACTGATGATCAATCTGTGCGTTAGGAAGCAACCTGAAGCTGAGCAAAAATCTACTGGGAGGAACAGAAAGAACAATTCTGCAGGCTCACACTCCATTGAGAACTCATCATGTTGTGGCACACACCTTCAATCCCAGTGCTTGGGAGGCAGAGGCAGGTGGATCTCTGTGAGTTCCAGGGCAGCCAAGACTGTTACACAGAGTAATCTTGTCTCAAGAAAAGAATGCATCATGTTTCCATGAGCTGAGCTATGCTATGCTATGCTATGCTATGCTATGCTATGCTATGCTATGCTATGCTATGCTATGCGATACCTGGCAAAACACAGGGTAGGAAGAGAGCATCAGAAGGCACTGTCTCAACAGTGTAGCAAAGCTATCTCTAGGCTGAAAGGTATGGTCCTACATAACAAAACCATAGAGCAAAGCTCCAGAACCAACTATTAACAAGTGACTGATTCAGAATAAAGCTGAGCAGGGTGTGATGCATACCTTTAGTCCCAGTTCATGGGAGACAGAGGCAAGCAGATCTCTGAATTTGAGGCCAGCCTGATCTACAGAGAGAGTTCAAGGATAGCCAGGGCTACACAGAGAAACCCTGTTTGGGGAAACAAAACAAAACAGAATAAAGCTAAAGAGTATTTAAAAGCTTTGCATACAAATATATGCTGTGCTCCACAATACACAAAATATCTCACATCCAATAAAAAATTACCAGACATTCAAAAGGAGCACAAAAACACTAAATTAGATAAATAAAAAGCAAAATCAGAAATAATACAGTGGCAGAGTTAGTGGACAGGGATATTAAACAATTTTCCTAATCATTTTTCTATGCTCAAAGAGATACAGCATGAACATGCTATGAAAACATCATAAAAGATCAAAGTCACATTTCTAAATATTCTATAAAGCAATGTTCAAAATGAAAAACGCACTGAAAGAGATTTACAGCAAACTGAACACTCACAGAAGAAAATTAGTGAACACAGAAACAGGAACTCTTCTGAAAATGAAAAGCAAATGAACAGAACACCAATGACCCATGAAGGAATCTAAAGTACAAATAACACATAAGTCATCGTCATGGCCCCCTTCCCCTGAAAGGGAAAAGGGGGAAAGTTAGTTTTGATGATATGGTTGTAAGTCAATCCAAATTTGCCACAAATTTAAATTCACAAAGCCAAGAATTTGGATAGAACTGAAACAAAATCAATACAAAGCAAGCCTGGGTTCCTGCTAGATAGTGAACTTCAAACTCAAACCACTGGGAAGGGCCCTGTCTCTCAATACAGTTGATACACCTTTAAAGCTAATCACTAAACTCAGATTTAGGAAGGGAATATTAGGGCCAGCACTATAGAAGTAAAAAGTTACTAAAGGCCTAAGTATCTTTCCCTGGTCTTGGAACCAAAAGTGTTTTAGATCTGCAAGTTTCTTACAGATTTTACAACTTTTATGTAAACTTCACTAGCTGGACATCTCAAATTCAAAAATGATTTAATTCTTCGGCTAGAGAGATAGCTCAGCACTTTAGAGTGACTATTGCTCTTACAGAAGACCCAGGCTCAACCCCTCCCCCCCCCCATCTACATGGTAGTTCACAACCATTCATAAACTCCAGCTCTGGGGAATCCAGTGCCAGCCTCTGGTACACATACACACATGCAGGCAGAACATGCACACATGGAAAACAACCTAAAATCTAAAGCAAAATTTTACTTAAAAAAATTCTCCAAACTCCAAACCTTTCTATCATATTGACATTTAAAAAAAAAAGTTGGATATTAAAACATTTCAAATTTTGCATTTTTGGATCAAGGACACAGCCTCTACAAACAAAAACAAGGAATAACTGCATGCCAAAAAATGGCCTCAACAAAATATACACAGTAGTAAAAGACATAACCAAAGCTTACTTAACAAAAAAGAAAAGGAAGGAAGGAAGGAAGGAAGGAAGGAAGGAAGGGAGGAAGGAAGGAAAGAAGAAAGGAAGAGATGAATAGACATACAAGTAAAGAGATTTAATTAATAGTGAAAAAACTGCCCACAAAGGCCAGGGCCAAATGACTTCAATGATTTCAACAAAATGTATAAAGAGGGGCCAGAGAGAGAAATGGCTCAGAGGTTAAGAGTGCATCTGCTCTTGCTGGACACATATTCAATTCCAAGCACCCATGTCATTCAAAGAACTTAGCAACAAAAGACCATTTAAAAAATAAAAAAAGGGCTGGAGAGATGGCTTAGGGGTTAAGAGCAGTGACTGCTCTTCCAGAGGTCCTGAGTTCAATTCCCAGCAACCACATGGTGGCTCACAACCATCTGCAATGAGATCTGGTGCCCTCTTCTGGCCTGCAGTCTCTGTGTACATAATAAAAATAAATCTTAAAAAAATAAAAAATAAAAATAAATAAAAATAAAAGGAAATGAACATTTCTCTCAAACAAATCTGAAATAACTTAAAACATATACATAATAACCCAATCAATCCCTAATAACTAATGCATTTCCAAAATGTTGCTTAACAGCATTAGTTATCAGGAAACTGTAAATCAAAACCATAAGCAACACTCCAAATCCACTAGAATAGCTAAAAAATGGCGAGTGGTGAAGAGGATGTGGAGAAACTAGGCTCCTCACACAATGCTGGTTGAAATACAAAATTGTGTAGCCACAGTGCACTATGTGATAGTTCATTAAAAATTAGACTTATAATTACCATATGCCTGATCAATGCCACTAGATATATATACCCAAGAGGATGTTAACATGTATAAACACATGCTCCTAGCAGGTTTCTAAGAACCAAGATGTAGAAACAACTCACCTGTCCATCAGCTGATACAGATAAGAAAAATACCCCACATCCATTCAATAGAATACATACAAAGAAGTGATGTACAGATATATTCTACAATACAGATGAACCCTGGAAATTATGCTATCCAGAGATTCTTTTAATGCCTCCAGCCCCTAATGGAATCTAACGTTTCTGACGTTAGTAAGATATCTCATCTGTCAAATCACGCACAGCTCTAATTAGGCCTGTCTGCTTCTTGTATGACTATCAGTTCAGGGTCTCACTGCACACTCTTTAAACCCTACTATTAGCATCATGGACCTTTAAAACTGCTATGTATGTCCATTAACCAATATCATTAGCATAAAATGTCCCTTTTGTCAAGAGTATAAAATATTAATATGCAACTTTTTCTTAGAGCATAGCAGAAAGTGAATGTAAAGAAAGTGGTGATACAATTGCTCTTGCCATCTTAGAACCACATCTGTAAATCTTACCGTATCATCCAGACCATCTATCTGCAAAACTACCGTTTTGGCACGTTTGTTTGTAGTTCCTAGAAAAAACTGAGCTTTCCTCCGACGTGAATTCACTTCATTAAAACTATCACCATCAGCCATATTGGAGGACTGAAGGATGTCATAGATTTCAGAGGCCAGAAGTTTTGTTTCTCCCGGAGTTGTAGTCCTTGAAAAGAAACAAAGTCACTTTCGCTGACTCTGTAATTTTACTTTTCAACTCAACAAAAACACCAATGAGTCTTAGAATAATCAATAATGGGCTAACTTTCTCTACCGGCTTCAACGAAAATGGCCCCATTGCTTCACAGGGAGTGGCACATTAGGGATGGCCTTGTAGGAGGGAGTGTGTCACTGGGGGAGAGCTTTGAGGTTTCAAGTGCTCAAGCCAGGCCCAGTGTCACTGTCCCTTCCTGCTGCCTGCAGACCCAGATGTAGAGCTCTCACAGACCCAGGTGTAGAGCTCTCACAGACCCAGATGTAGAGCTCTCACGGATCCAGATGTAGAGCTCTCACAGACCCAGATGTAGAGCTCTCACGGATCCAGATGTAGAGCTCTCACAGACCCAGGTGTAGAGCTCAAACAGACCCAGATGTAGAGCTCTCACAGACCCAGATGTAGAGCTCTCACGGATCCAGATGTAGAGCTCTCACAGACCCAGATGTAGAGCTCTCACGGATCCAGATGTAGAGCTCTCACAGACCCAGATGTAGAGCTCTCAGCTCCTTCTCCAGCAGCACGTCTGCCTGCACGCCGCCATGCTCCCCACTGCGATGATAATGGACTAAACCTCTGAGCTATAAGCCAACCACAGCTTTCCTTTAAGCTGTGTTGTGGTTATGGTGTCTCTTCACAGCAACAGAAACCCTAAGCCACTATGCCTGGCTAGGTGGTAACAATCTCCTAATTTCATTTCAAGCATGATTCATTGAGATTCAGAATCTATCCTAGCATGGTACAAAAGTACATTTAATTAAAGTCATTAGATAGGAAACCAAGTAACAAGATCAAGTTGTCAAATTTCTCTGCTACTACAAATCTGCTTGAACCATCTCCTTTCTGTTGATTCAGGTAGCTTAAGTTATTTTTAAAACTGAACTGGAGAGGCAGAGAGCTGCAATGTAGACATTTTTCAGTGTTTGAAAACCAATCCAGTGAGATGGAAACTACTGGCAAGCATATGAACGATGCCATTTAAAGAAATATTAACAGAGCCAGGAAGACAGCTCAACAGGGCAAGCATGTGGCATGCAGAGTGAGAAATGGAGTTTGGATCCCCAGCACCCACGGAATTGCCAGGTAGCATGACAGTCTGCCTGTAATGCTAACACTAAGCAGGCAGCGACTGACTAGGATAACTAGACTAGCTATATTAACAAAGCATTCAAATATGGATACTGGTAATGCTTATTTTGGAGAACAGAAGTGACTTTTCCCCAAGCCTGAAATGGGAGCTGGGGGGGATGACAAAAAGATTAAGAAGCTTGGAAGGGGACTTTCAAATAAATGAGAATTGGTATGTTACTTATTAGTGGAGCAAGCAAACACCACACTGTACTAAAAATGTATACTTCACTTTAAAACATAAGTTACTTTGAGAATCCATACAGACACTCTGCTTGGATCCCCTCAGAAAATGGCCTTTTATGGCCTTTAATGACAAGGAATATCTGGCCCACCAACACAGCAGATAGATCCCGTGCATGTCTTTGGGCCCAACTGTCCTTCAAGCCTCTGAATAGAATTGGTTTATACAGATAGACTTGTGCACACATGTGCTCGCAACCTCACAAGCCAATGAGATCGCTCAGTGGTTAAAGGTGCTTCCTCAAGCTGTCTTCTGGCCTCTACAGCCAGGCACACACCCATGCAAAAATAAACTTAAAAAGCTAAGTTAGATAAACTAATTAAATAAATAAAGGACTGTTCTTCTGTAAGTCACAGCAGCAAACATAGCAGCTTTGGAACCATCACAAATCCAAGGGCAGGAGATGTTCTTCCCAGGCAGCCTCCAGTAAGATGTCATTCACTGTAGAACTGATCTAAAAGGCATTCTTTGCTTGCAGCTGCCCACTAGGATGGCTGTCAGGTCTATACTGTAACCACACTCTGTCCATCTGTCCTTTCTTGTTAGTGTGTACTGGAAACTTTCTCTGCCCAATCCTGTTCCTACCTTCTTTATGTCTAAGACATTAATCTACATTTCTAACTTTATCTTAGATCTCCTTCCCTGACGACCTGCCAAGATGTCTTCAGTTTCTGAGTAACTTCACAGCAGTCTCCCTACTTTGCCAATGTATCTTTTTCACACACACACACTTTACCACATCCTTGAGCCAACAAGATTAGAAATTACTTTATAGGTTAAGTGTATGCTGCCTGAACTCACTCTAAATTTTTAAAAGTAAAATGTATTTTAGTTTTTAAACTTTTTTTTAACATTTTGTCATTTTTATGTGTATGGATGTTTTGTCTGAATGTATGTCTATGCACTACATGCATGCAGTGTCCACAGAGACCAGAAGAGGAGTCCAGATCCCATTGTGGGTGGCCCTTGGGAAGAGCCTGCAGCACTCTGAGCCACAATCCCTCTCTCACTGCTTTTAGAAGCTGTCTCCAGAGTCCAAGCTGACTCTAGCCCCTGGCAATCCTGTACCTCAAACTTCTGGATGCTAGAATCTTAGGTATGAGTAATAACACCTGGCTTTCAACACTCCTTTCGTTTGGTTTTTGAGACAGGGTTTCCCTTTGTAGCCCTGGCTGTCCTGGAACTCACTCTATACACCAGAGATTCGCCTGCCTCTCTGCCTCAGGAGTAACAGGGTTAAAGGCGTGCGTCACCACCTCCAGGCTTTAACACTGCTTTTAAATCTAATTTTCCACATCATATTCTGTTCCATTTACTTTCAAAATCAATAACTATGCCTATTTAAGGAATATACAAGCAATGGATTTTTTTCCCATAAGCTTTCAATCAGATTCAAACAACCACACCAAAAGAAAGTCTGAATTTCCATGAGCATGGTGAAGGAAGGGCCCTTTGAGTAAAGCTAGATGAAGTAAATGATAGCAACAGTCCACCATGATACCCCACTGTAGACCATTTACTATGACTAGCAGTCTGGCTGCTCTGCTACCAAATCAAGTTATGTTCTTTAAAAAGCTTCATTCAGTGTAAGACTTTTTCTATAAAAAATTCTCCTCTCCCTCCCACCCACCCCCCCCCAGCCTAGCATGGATGAAGCCGTGAGTTTTATACCCCATACCATAAAATCCAGGTATGGTAGCACACACCTGCAATAACAGCTCTCTGGAAGTAAAGGCAGGAAGATAGTAGTAGTTCAAGGTCAACCTTGACTACAGAGTAAGTTTGAGACCGGCCTGAGCTCTGTGAGGACTCTGTCTCAAAAATAAAATAAATGCACATATATAGTATTCTTTTATTTTTAGGCAATGGCCCATGGGTGATTTCTTGATATCCTTATTTAGCCAATAGTAGATAGCTGAATTTAAAATTTTTATACCACAAATACACAACCAGTTAATAGACTAGAAAACACAGTGGGGTTCAAGTGGGGAGATGGCTCAGTGATTAAGAGCACTTCCAAAGGACCCAGGTTCAATCCTCAGCACCCACATGATAACTCACAACTGTCTGTAACTACAATTCCAGGGGTTCTGACCCTCCCCCCACAGACATACATGCAGGCAAATACCAATATACATGAAATAAAAATAAAGTTAAAAAAAAAACAATGGGAAGGAAATGTTTGACAGATACTAAGAGCCATGGATATTCAGCTGTCTTGAAATTTGGACAGAAACCTGTTGCCCTGTTTCTGCCACATCAGTTGCAAATGTCCTAGGATTATCACTATAATATAGGAGAGAGAAGTAAATTATGGAATACTTATTAATATCTCCAAAATAACAGGATGGATGCCAACATTTTATATAACACATATATAAGTACTGTTAATAACCATGTTTACCAATAAAAACAAAACTAACAACCAGGCATGGGGGCCCATACCTTTAATCCCAGCACTCAAGAGGCAGAGGCAAACAGATCTCTGAGTTCAAGGCCAGCCTGGTCTACAGAGCTAGTTCCAAGACAGCCAAGGCTACACAGAAAAATAATATTCACTAGCAAAACATTTTTGGACATAAAACTTACAGGAGTCTATCTTCTGTGAGAGTTAAAATTTCTAAATAATATTTTAAACTAACAATAAAATTTCGGTAAACTTAACATACAAACTCATTTCTCTCCCTCCTCTGTACTTACTTCTGGATGACGTTCTGTAAGCTTAACATCATCCCCAGCTCTCCCTTCATCTTCTCTCTGTTTGCACGACACTCAGCCAAGTATCGGAGCGCCTGCAGCAGAAACAACAGTCAGCTCACACATCTAGACTGCTCATAACTTGGTCACTTATAATCTACTGCAAGAGGAAAAACAGTAAGTTTTTATTTTCAGCATCAACTGACTTTAAATTCTTTTAAAATAATCTCCTAGGGGCTGTGGTGACTGAATTTGCCATATGAAATGAACATTCATTCCAAGGTTACCTGCAAGGCCAACATTAAGTTATTTCACTTTCATTTATCATTTCATCTTTACAAGGCCTCAAGAAGCTATATCCCATTTATTAATCTCAAAAAGTAGTTCTGATAGCCATCACCTCCCTGGATCCTTTTTACACACTAATTAAAAAGGCTAACCTGATATGCAAACTGTCCTTCCCTGCAGAAACTTATACTCAATGCCTGTTTCAGACACGGGTCAAACGGAAGCATATAGCAGTATCCTTAGGGAAAGGGGAGTGAAGTAGGTTCTAGAACTGGCTCTTTCCTTCACAGCAAACATGGTAGCAGTCTGAAGAAGTCACAGCAGTCATACTTGCAGAGAAGAGGCACACTATAGTGTCCCAAACAGCAGGAATCCCAAAGACCTACAGAGGGGGCCCAGAGAGTCTGTATTTGCATATCAATCTGCACATGGGAAGTGTGAAAGGCCACATGGTGAGGGAATAACACCACCACAAAGTAAATCAAACACACCCCTGAGCTCAGGATGAAGTGGGAACAGTTTGGGATGACATCTGCCAGAGGAACAAAGACCTAACCTAACCCGATGAGGCATTGGGGTGAACACTTGAATGTGTTCATCTTGGCAATGGAAATAACAGATTGTACACACTCTAACAAAGCCCAAAGCAATCTTGAAAAATCAACCTGGCCCCAAGCTACCTAAAAGTAACGCTGAGAAGAATTCAACAGTATTTATAGAAACATTTAAAACTTTTCTTTTTTCTTTTGGTTTATTTTTTGAGACAGGCTTTCTCTGCGTAGTCCTAGCCATCTTGGAACTCCCTCTGTAGGCCAGGCTGGCCTCCTCGAACTCAGAGTATCTCCCTCAGTCTCCCAAGTGCTAGGATTATAGGTGCATGCCACCATTCGAAGATGAAAAGAATTTTCAAAAACCAGACACATTAAATGTAACCTATATCCAGAATCAAGGTAAAATAGAGATTATGACTGAGAAAAACATCAAAAACTATTATAATACATTTCATGTTTGAGGAAGAAAAATGAAGATGAGGAGGAGAGAAACGGAAGCCATTAAAGTGGCAAACAACTTCCACAGGACAAAACATTTAAAATGAAAGCAGTTCAGGTATTCAGAATAAAGAGCAGTTGCGCTTAAAATAAAGTACAGAAAGGGGATTAAATAAAGGTGTAGCAATGTCTACAGCACAACATACGCTAAGGTTAGTAGACCTAGAGAGTAGTGGGATATTTTCAGCAAAAATTAAAAATAAAAACTTATGAAAAAAATAATAGACCCAACAAATTCAACATGAAAATATACAATAAAATCTACAATACCCATATCAACCATTTCCTGAAAAACAGCAATGCAATTCACAGATGAAATCACAAAAGCCATTATCGGGGTGGCAAGATGACTCAGCAAGTAAAAGGACTCAATGGAAGCTGGATGAAGAGTTCAGTCCCTAGCCAGGGTTTGATTTCAAGCCTGAGGCCAATCCCCAGAGAATATAGTAGGAGAAAGTCCACTCTTGAAAACTGGTCTCTGACCTTCACAAGCGAGCCATGACACATGTGGACACACAACACACACACAAATAAATGTACAAATGTATAAAAAGTATTCAAAAAAGTACAGCGCTTTCCTTATTAGAAATCCTACATATAGGCAGCCTGACACAGTGGCCACTCCTGTTTCCTCAGCACTCCAGAGACCAAGGCAGGCAGGCTGACATGAGTTCCAGGCAAGTCTGATTTACACAGCAAGTTCTAAGCCAGCCTGGACTACAAGAGTGAGACCTTATGGAAAAAGACCAAAAAAAAAAAAAAAAAAAAAAAAAAAAAAAGGATGCTAGTCTATGTTTAGGAGCAAAGAACACCAGAAACAGTAAAGATGAAGATGAGAATAAATATAAAAGACATTTAAAATTGAATGTGATAGCACATACCTTCAACTCCAGCTCTGAAAAAACGTGAACAAGGGGGGTTAATAGCTGAAGCAATACCAGATATGGTGACACATGCCTTTAATCCCAGTACTTTGAAAGCAGATCTCTGAGTTCAAGGCTAACCTGGCCTACAGAGTAAAGTCCAGGCCAAACAGGGATACATGAGATCCTGTCTCAAAACAAAACCCGAATTGGAGACAAGTCTAAACTCCAGGGCCAACAGCACTCCAAAAATTCCTTTCAAACTTCCAAGTGACATAATATTTGGAACTGATTGTGGTAGCACATGCCTGTAATCACAGCATTTGAGAGGCAGAAGCAGGCAGGACTCTTGTGAGTTCAAAACGAGCCTGGTCTTAACATAGTGAGTCCCAACAGCTAACGCTATCTAGAGAAACTCTGTCACAGACGAAAACTAGCTGAGTTTTTAAAATTTTAATACAATGTAAAGTGAATTGAATGCTAGGACTTAGCTAGGTGCTTGCTTAGCATGTGTGAGGTTCTAGCTCAGTCCTGAGCATCACACACACCAAGACTGAAAGCATACTGTTTAAAGCAGTAGTTATGTATGTATGTATGTATTCACATTGTAGAAGCACATAGAAGTGTAATACAAGATGAAACCAAACTAAAGGAAAAAGAAGGAAATATACTGTGTATGATTCTCACATCATACATAAAGCACAGGACAGAAGTACACAAATGAGTTCACAATGCATTTTATCAAACTGGGAGTGACCACTGAACTAACTGAAGCTCTGTTACAAAGGGGACTATTGAACGTATATCTGCTTGTCGCCCTTCTTAGAACTTCAATCCCTTGGCCTCTAGATTTCCATTAGCTCTAGCCTGCCATTTCAGCTCCCTTACTACTCAGACTGGCACCTAAAATTTCACCACTTTAACCAATCTTGCCATGATCCTACTCTAACTCCCTTGTAGTCACTCTGTCCAACTTACCTGGCCAAGTATCAACCCTGGACAAATCCAGCTATTAGGCCTTCAGCGCCTATAGCAGGCCTGAAGTGGGAAGAAAAGTAGTTTAATAATCCAGGATTAGATCATATCAATCCAATACTACACTAAGCAGTTCTCAGCATACTGAGCAATTTTCCCTCCCCCACAGTAAACAGCCTTTCCTAGTGTGTAATTTAGGAAATCCTCCTCAAAAAAATTACCTACTCCAGCCAGATGTGATGGTGCCATGCCTGTAATCCCAAAGTGAGGGAGACAAGACAGAACAGGCTACGTAGTCCCAAAACAACAAGATAAAACAAAATATACTGATGTGGTTTGCATCTGGAATGTCCCGCACCAAAGGGCCATGTTTTGAAGAGCTGGTCTAGTTTGGGCACTATTTTGAAGACTGTGGGTCCTAAGGAAGTTCTGGCTAGATCACTACAGCAAGGAGGGGAGCTTGTGAAGGTTATGCCCACTCCTGACTGCGTCATTTCACACTCGCTACCGCTACCACATTCTCACCACCATCAACTCATGAACTGAGCCGCTCTGGCCATGCCTTCCAAACCTTTTTCCTCCTGCCAGTTACTTCATCAAAGCAGCATTTCATGTGACACAGGCTGACCTTTAACTCCTGGTCCTCTGCCTCCAGCCCATCTCTTTTGACTGTTATAGAAACACTGAGGCGTGCACATAAAGAAAATGTGTGGTGACCGCCATGTACCCATCACTCAGCTTCAGTAAGCACCAGTCATCACTTGACAATCTCGTTTTATCCCTCTCTCCAGTCCATAATCATAACTGAACATTAGAGATCAGCATATCTCATCTGCAGATATTTCACTACATCTAAGAAAGTTGTTGGTATTTTTGTTAATTTTTTGTATTGGGTTTTGAGACACGATATCACTGTGTATACATGGCCAGTTTGGAATTCACTATGTACGCTATGCTGGCCTTGAACATAGAGATCTACTTGCCTCTGCCTCCCAAGTACTAGGATTAAAGGTGACACCGTGCCCAGGAAGAAATTAGCTTTAAATTATCTTAATACTATCATAAAATTCTACACAAATGACCTTTTTAAAAAAAGTACTTTTCTTCAAGTCTTAACACATTTTCATTGTCTAGCTAAGCTAAAACTTCAACAGCAGGACAGTCATTGTTTTGCTTTGACAAAGTATCACTTTGACAAAGTGCTAACTGGCCTGGAACTCACTGTATAGACCATGCTGGTCTCAAACTCAGAGATCTGCCTGCCTCTGCCTTTCAGGTGCCAGAATTAGTGTGTGTCATCACACTTGATGGCATTAAATTTTTAATTTAATTTTTACATTATTTATTTTGTGTGCATGACCCTGCATTATGGTCAACATAATGCCTGGAAGTCACAAGACAACTTCCAGAAGTTGGCTGTCTCCTCCCAACATGTGGGTTCCAGGCATCAATTCAGGCCATCAAACTTGGTAGCAAGCACTTTTATCGGCCACGAAACCATCTTATTGGCCATAATGACTTTTTTTTTTTTTTCAGTTGTTTTATTTTACACATATAGGTATTTTGCTTTTATGTATGACTGTGTACCATAAACTAAGGTACCCTGCAAGAGCAGTCTGAGCTGTTAAATACTGGCTTCTCACCAGCCTTCATAGTGACTTTTTAGTGTCATCTACTGTATACTACACATGCCCTTCCAGACACTTAAAAGTTGCTTATGATGATTTGCCTAAATCAGGATAGAAGTCCGGTCTACCAATAACATTTGGCTGATACATCCCTGAAGATATATTACAGTTGCTTCCATCACTGCTCTGTCCTCCACTCCAGCTGCCTTTTTTTCTGTATTAAGTACTACTGAAGGGACCAAATTTTACCTGTCACTCAGAAATTCCTCCATTCTGGATGTCTGATGGTCTTGGGGATCTTTGGCATGTTTCTCTAGCCTCCACATTTCTCATAATTCCTTTTGAATTGTTGGCTTTGGTCCTGTACACTTTCTTTCCTTATCTGTCTTCCTTACCGTATATTAAATTAAGTGTGTGTCCATCAGCTAGTGAATGGATAAACAAAATGGTGTATGTGCATACAATGGAACGTTATCCAGACATAAAGAAATGAAGTATTGACACTTGCTGAGGTTTATCTGGGCCAACATAATACAAATCACAGAAAAGTCACAAGTCACACGTTATGACTGTATCTATATGAAAACTCTATAGGCACATTTGCAGAGTAGCAAACACATAGTCTGGTGCTGCCTACACAATGGGGATGGCACTAGGAAATAAGAGGTGACCAGTAGTACAGTGCTCTCTCTGGGGCAATAAAAAGGTTCTAAAGTAAGATGTGGTAATACTCTCCTATAATCCCAACATGTGACAGGCTAAATCAATAAGATCTCAAGTTCCAGGTAGTCTTGGATACCTAAGAAGACTATGCCTCAAAACAACATAACAAAATTAAAATGCCCTAAAACTGACTACAGGGATGGCTGTATCACTCTGTGAATAAAAGCCACTCAAGTGTCCACTTTAAATGCATGAACTTTACCATGGAATATAGGTTACATCTTTAAAAGCTATTCTGTACCAGATGGGGTTGTGTACATCTGTAATCTCAGTACTTGGGAGGCTGCGTCAAGTTAAGGTTAGCCTGGGATACAAGATCCTGTCTCCATCTCCCTCCCCAACAACAACGACAACAGAAGCTGTTATGAAATATAAATATATATGGGAGATGGATGCAGTTCAGTACAGGATGTACTTGACATTCATGACACCCTGATTTCAATCCCTTGTACTAAAAAGGTACCTTTCTGAACTCAAGAGTTCTCATAATTGATGGGCTTGGGAACATAGATCAGTGATAGAAGGCTTGCCTAGCATGCATAAAGCCCTGTGTTTGAGTCCTAGCTATACACATAAATGTGAGTGTTGGAGGAGAGAGAGAAAAGACAGTAATGATCGGGGTGTGGTGGTATATGCCTGCAGACAAAAGATGACCTGAGTCCAAGAGTACAGCAACGTCCCATGTCAAAAAGAAAGCGAAAATAGTAGATCATGTCAACTGAGAATACCAAGTACCAGAACATTAAAGGCCCAAATTAACATGTGGCTATTTGAGTTAAAGAACTACACATATACCACAGTTTCCATATTTTTACATACCAAAATACAAACTGCATGATCTAACAATGTCTTTTACCATGTTAGCAAAGGTCTTTGAAAATTCTTACTTGCAAAATTAAAACACCAAGACTGAAAATATTAAAGCAACTTACAAGTAAAGCTGAGTGGACAACAGGGGGGTTGGGATGGTCCATAAACAAAATAAGGCCAGGCAGACATCCCTGATCCTGGACGATGGCTCTTCTATTTAATGGATCTGCCGCTAAATCCCGTAGCTGATTAACTACCGACAGAGCATCAGGCTCTTCGTTCATAGTAGAAGAGGAGGAATTCATCTTCTATGACATGCACATGAATAAAATCTTCTCAAATTCTGTAAAAAAGAAAAAGTAAGGTTGACAAAATGAGTTCTAGTCGGTCAAGGTAGACTAGGATCCCATCTGATCAGACTGGCCTCAGACTACCTATGCTGCTAAGGCTGTCCTTGTTTCCTGATCCTCCTGCCTCTACTTCTCAAAAGCTAGGTTACAAGCATGCGCCAACTATGCCTAGCTATGGTGCCTTCAAAGTAACTCATTATAATATCTTTAGAAGGAAGCAGATGAATCTAAATCACATACACACAGAAATAAGAACTGGTTATTCCCGAGCTTGTGAAAAATAAAGTGAACATAAGCCGAAGGAAGAAATCAAGTTATTTATATATGTAAAAGAACATATGTCATCCTCAATATTCCCATAAATCCTATTTTAGCAATACATATTTTAGCACTACAGTTCCAATAAACAAGGTCTTTATGTACAGGCTTGTAACCTTTGCTCCCCTTTTCAACCTGTAACACTGCCAGGACTTTTCCTCTCCAAAAACACTTCTAGGCCTAAAACAAGTGCCTCAAGGAAAAGTAGTGAGCAGACAGCTTGCATTTTTATTGCTCATCTATCGGGAGGGGTTGGGGAGAGACACATAGCAAACTATCTACAAAGGACAAAATTTCCTAGGGAAAGGGAGAGCACCCAAGGAGACCCTTGCCAGACACTGTGGGACACCCAAGCTACCTCGAGATGGAGACAGGAAGATCTGGAGTTCAGGACCACCTGGGACAGTACTAAGACCCTTTGTCAAAACAAAAATTTTATTCAAGGAACTGAGGGTACAGCTAAATGGTAGAGCACTGCCTAGCACAGCTCACTTAGTTCCTAAGTTCAATCTCAAGGTCAGAGGAGAAGGAAAGAAAAAAGGAGCTTCTCTACAGGGAGCCTAGAGCCCACGCTGTATGTCTTATCTGTGTGTCCACTGAGCAGCCTGGAGGACTGCAATGAAACCGGACCCATCTCTGTATGTGCCATCTCCTAATGCCTAACAGAGACACAGTAAGAGGGGACAAAATATGAGGTGACAGTGAAACAGTCAGAGAAGTTAAATATTTGTTCCAAGTCATCAGGTGGAAGTATAGAATGGGGGGGGGGTCTTATTTATCCGTATTTCCTGTTTCTCAGCTGCCTTTTACTTTCTAAACCCCCCTTTTATAGTCAATGTATCTTTTCTTCATATAAGTAACTGGCATGTCTGAGTTTGGTAGGTCACACCTATTATTATCTCAACACACAAGCTTCAGTAAGGCAGGAGGATGTGAGTTCATGAGTTCAATGCACGGGTTACAAGTAAGTCTCTGCCTTAAAAAACAAACAAACCAAAAAAAAACAGCATTTGAGAAAACGTCATGTATAGGACATGTAAAAGCCAAAGAAATAAACATTAATAATTTTTGTAAATGTAGATTATTTAAAATCAGTCTACAACTAATAAGACTTTGTATTATATTCCTTATTCTGAAGAACTTACAGGTGTTAACATACCTAAGCAGACACAGTCTTAAAAGTCCAGAAAAGACTATGAATTTATTTGGTGGAAAAGGGTAACAAAGCAGACCAGAACTCAGCATAAAAGCACAGGTACTAGTGGAGGAAAGGGAGATAAGTAGCCTAACCGGAGCTCATGCCTGTGACCCCAGGCCTCCAGAGGCTGAGGCAAAGGGTCAGTCAGCCTGACTACAGCAAGACCCTGACTCACAATCCTTCCAGACACTAGCATAGCTATGTGGGCCACCGTTAAAACACTGACCTGGAAGCTGGGCAGTGGTGGCACACATCTTTAATCCCAGCACTAGGGAGGCAGAGGCAGGTGGATCTCTGTGAGTTCGAGACCATCCTGGTCTACAATGGCTAGTTCCAGGAAACTAAAAGTCACAGAGAAAACCTATCTTGAAAAACAACAACAAACACACACACACACACAGACACAGACACAGACACACACACACACACACACACACACACACACACACACACAGAAAAAACCACTGACCTGGGTCCTATGTTCCATACTCCAAAAGACACACCTCCTAGGTTCTTTATGCATTCAGGTCTCCCAGTCACCAGATGAGGTTTGGCCACTCAGACACTGTGCTTTAGGTCACTGCAGGGACTGCCTAGCAGTGAGTATCCCCTGCTCTTCAAGAGGGACAAGTTCCCAGTAACCCACACCAGGAGTTCCCAACAGCAAGTAATCTCAGCTCTAGAGCATCCAGTGTGCCTCTGGCCACACACAGGTGCCAACACTCACACAGACACGCACATACATGCACATTAGTAAAATCTTTTCTAAAAAGCTAACATTTCGGGGAAACCCTTTACACTCTATCAGGGTCCACATCTGTAAGATGGTGTTGACAACACAAGCTACAAAACATCGTACAGTATCCATGAAATGACAATATATACAAAGAACTTCTATGCCTTCCACATAACAAATGATCAATAAAACGTAGTTTTCAGTTACATGATAAAAAAGAAAAACGGTAAGATTATTCAATAGTGTTAGAGTAACTACCTAGCAATGTTATTAAAAACAAGTAATGGTCTTTAATATTGAGAAGAAAAAATACATTAATAATTTTAATGCAAGCAAATATAAAGAACTCCAGGAAAAGAAGACTTTATAACAACATAACCTTTATCAAGTAATTATCTCAGAATAAAAGTACTATGGTTATTTTTGCCACCCTCAAAGTCAGGATAAAAGATGACCTGGACTGAGCACATGGACAGGACTACCAGGTTTAGAACTTGTGGCCACTTAGGTCTTCCATCAGCATCAACCCCTGCTTATGAAGAGCAGCTTACCCACAGGGTTTGTTCTGTCAATGGCACACATCTCACCCAACCTGAAGGAAGAACTAAGTACTCAGCCACGCATGGTGGTGCATGCCTGCCAGCCCTGCACCAGAGAGTTGAGAAGCAAGAGGAAGCAGTTCAAAGTCATCCTCAGATACATAGCAAGTTTGAGGTCAGCCTTTGCTACATGAGATACTGTGTCAAAAAACAAAAACCAAAACAAAACCACAGATCATAAGATGGCTCAGTAGGTACAGGCACTTGCTGCCAATTTTGGCAGCTAAGTTCCCTCTCTGGAACAAAGAACTACTCCATAGCTTGTCCTCTGACTGCCACCCTCAACACAGTGTGACTTATGTGCCAATGTACACATAACCCTACATACAGTAAATAAACGTATGTTAACACATACACACCAACAACAAAACCAAACATTACATACACTGGGTTTCTCACAGAAACCAGACCTTCCGTGAGACTAGAGAGTTCTGTTTTTATCTGCCATCCTTGGCTAATTACTCAATGGAGATTATCCCTTAAATGTCATACATAATCTTCCTGATCCTTTGGAAGGGTCTGAAGTCAAAATACCTTAAAACTTCCAGTCCTCAAACCCTATTGAGAAGGGTTCAAATGAACTAGGGTGTATCTAGGAAGAGTCAGGAATATCAGGCAATAACAGAAACAACTACATCAAGCAGAACTATGCTCAATTGCATGGCAACCGCAACTTATGAGGCAAGAAAAGCAGCCTGGAGTTTGGATTTGCCCTCCAAATTACAGGTTTATATAAAACTTCAATGTCAAAAGTTCATTTTATTTTAATATCTTGGTGGCATCAGGTTACACACACCCCTTTCTAACTATGTGGCCCGAATCTTTTTAAATAATCACTGTTTCTTTAGACTGCTGAGTTCACATAAGCAATTTTTACTTTAATTTTATTTATGAGAGGTCTCACTCAACAGCCCAAACTAGGTTCAAATTTGTAGGAACCTTCTTGCTAAAGCCCCAACCTTAGCACACAATCATGCCTGTCAAAACAGATGATTTTTTAAGAGTTATGCTGGGGGTAGGAAGACAGAAGTAAGTCTAGGGATAAAAGAGTGCTTGCCACATACACATACAAGGAAAGCAAAAGGAGAAGGAAGAGGAAGAAAGACATTCTCCTCCCTGCTTCTAGAGTGACACACGTGTCTGCCACTGCCTGGCTTCAAAGTTAGACTTTGGGGATGAAGAGATGGCCGAGTGGTTAAAAGCACATACTGCTCTTGCTGAGGACCCAAGCTCTGCTCCTAACATCCATGTTTGGTAGCTCACAACACCTGGGACTCTAGTTCCAGGGTATCTGACCTTCTCTGTCCTCCACGGGTACTTGCCCACACACATATAGTTAAAAATAAATCTTTTTAAAAATTATAAGTTTAAGCTTAACTTATTCACTGAATATATTTTGTAGGGTTTTTTTTTTAAACTTTTAAGTTAAATTGTTTGATGGAAATATTTGCCTTCACATGCTGAGCAAATAGTTATAAGTGATTACTGCAGGATCCACTCCAAACTTTCTCTATTCCAAATTTAACAAACCTCAAAATAAACAGAGGAAGACAACAAATGAGAGCAACACATAATGAAGAGGCCATCATGAAATCCATTACTTTGTATGCTAATGCAGGAAAAGTTTTAATTCATTTGTGGCACACTAAAAATAATTTTAGGGCTGGAGAGATGGTTCAGTTGATAAAGTATCTGCTGTGCAAGCATGAAAGCTGAGTTTACATTTCATACCCCACTGCAGAAGCTGGGTGAAGTGGTACATGTAGTTAACCCTACTGTAGAAGGTGCAGACAGGAAACCCATGGAATTTCCTGATAGACCCTGTCAAAAGAGTAAAGAGGAGACCGACAAGACACCTAATATCGATCTGTAGTATCTACATATGTGCACAGACATGCACATGCATCCTTATGCACACACCCACTTGAGATCACTGTGTACACACACACACACACACACACACACACACACACACACACACACACACACACACACACACGACAGAGAGAGAGAGTACACAGCACCGGCAAAGAGGGATAACTTAAAATAACCTAAAATGCTGATCTGAGCAAATTTATAGTAGATAATGACTACAATGAAGATTTTGTTTTAATCCTTCCCTTACTTTCTATACTGAATACCACATTAGGCTCAAACACAAGTATCTTTGTTCATTTGTTTGCTAGTTGTTTTCATCCAAAGCATTAATGTCAGGAAGCATGGACCTGGACAGCCTCAATAAATACAATTCCTTTGAACATCAGTAGGTATTTTTGAAGGCACATCAAATGATTTCCTCTGCAAACAGAAGCCTGAAACCTTATACTGGCATATGTATAAGCAAATACCTCTGGGCAACAAACAGAAGTGGAGCTGGAGAGAGGTCTCAGCAGTGAGACCTAGCTGATCTTCCAGAGGTCCAAGTTCAATTCCCAGCACCCAGATAGCAGCTTACAACTGTAAGTTCTAGATCCAATGCCCTCTTCTGGCGCCAGGCATGCACATGGTGCACAGACATACGTGCAGGCAAAATACTCACAGAAAATTGTTTTTTTTTAATTTTTAAGAAAATACTGAAAACCAAAACTATTTGAGCAATGAGATACCATGAGTCTGACAGTTTCAGCTTTATTATCAAATTACCAAACGAATAAACTGGAAAAGCCCCCTCCCTTCCAAAGAAACTAACTGGAAAGTCTTTGGCAAATGAAGAAAACTGAGGGGTAGGCCTTGCATAGGAAGACTGCAAACCGTGTGTGAATTAATCAAAGGTTCTTTGAACAGTCAGCAGTAAGTTAACATTTCTTTTGTCTTAGTTTGTTCTTTTACCTTTAAAGCCAGCATCTGCTGTCTTACAAAATAATATTGAAACACCTTAACTACTGATGTCTATTTTAAGACTTGGAGCTGCTAGGTTAAAATTGTTGAGCAGCATATTTCATCTCTTTGAAAGAAAAATCAGTCTTGCAAATGACAAAACTGTGAAAAAAGTTGTCCTTGTCTTTCTCAGTGTTAGAAGGTTTTTCTTTTCCCTGGTCGACCTATGTAGACGAGGCTGTCCTGGAACTAGCAATAATACTCTGCTTGCCACTACCTTCCAAATGCTGGGATTAAAGGCACACACCACCACGGCCCAGCCTTACTCTCTCTTCCTTGGTTCTATATGGACAAACAAAATCCTCCCAAACTTTTACTGCGCATTGCGATCACCTAAGGAATCTTGTTAAATAGCAAGTTCAAGCTCAGTGGGCGTAATGGGGTCTGGGAATCTGGAAGTCCGACCAGCTTGCAGATGAGAACTAAGGCACAGTCAGGCAGGCATGTGTGACATCTGTATTTGGGCTAAAGTCGGAACGAACGGTTCTTCTTTTCTTTCGGCCAAGAATCACCACTTAATTCACACAAGTATTAAGCGCTCACGTGCTAACAGCTGAGGCGGGTACACTCTTAGCCTAAGTCCTACCGAGTTAAGTGACATTGAAAAGCAAACACCACCACCAAACACTGAGATCCGATCTGGCTTCTCCCTGAGATTAACGAACAGTAACTCTGGGAATTGAGTTACCTCCTCCAAGCCTCGGCTTCTTCACATAACGGCCTTGAGCGGGTTTCAGGTTTGAAAGAAAATTAAGAGCAACCAGGCAAGCACAGAACAACTGACCCAAGAGGGTACCTTCCACTGCAAGCGCTGGGGAGAGAGGATCACGCCGGGAGCCGCTAACTGCGCTTTAAACGCCCACCACCTGTGGACACGGTTTCTCTTGAGCGAAGGCCTGCGCTCAAACTCGCAGGGATTTACAGAAAGAACGCCGAGAGACGAAGCGTAAGCACAGAGGCGGGCGCCACCCGCCACCCGTGGGGCAGGCCGGCTGGTCAAAGTCGGATGCGGGGCGGAGAGCGAGCGTCCCGAGCCTGCAGGACGTCCCGCGGGATGCTGGCGCCGCGGCGGGCCCGCGGTGCGGCGGCCGCCTCCCGACCCAGTGCCCCGGCTCACGTACCCTGCAGAGCTCCGGGCGTCCGGAGCCAGCCGCTGCATCAGAGCCGCACCCACGACGGCACAGGACGTGCGGCGCGGCGACCCCGGGCCGCGGCCTGACTCAAAGGAGCACAGGGCTGAGCCGCCGGCGGAGGAGGGTCTGCAGGTTCCGCGGTGACCCTGTCACCTCTGCTGGCTTTATAGTCCCATTGGCTGAGACTGAGTCCGACGTGAGGCAGGCACCCAATCAGCCAAGGGGTATTTCCAAGTGAAATCTCTCATTGGTCAACTCGCTGGGACCAATGAGAACTCAGAACACTGAATTGGACCGAGGGGCTCGCCGTCCACCGAGTACTGATCCGTCGCTGCTTCGCGACTACAATTCCCAGAGTTCCTGCGGCAGGGCTTCGGCTTCGGCTTTCGAAAATTCAAACCCAGTATTCCGTCTCCGCCGCGTCTTCCAGGGCTAATAAAAAAAACCTCGTAATCTTCCATCCGCGTCTGTGAATCTTTGTTCAGGGTCTTCAGACTTTTCCTTGCAGTTTTTACTATGAACGTCGGCACTCTGGCGTTCTTAGATTTCGTTCGTTTCTGCTCGGAGTCGCTTTCTTGCAAAGCTGAGGACGCCAAGAGCTTTCGGGTTGGCTGAGGTGATTTGACGTTGGAACGAGTTTGTCATTTAGTTTCTCAAGTTCATCATGAAGTTTTGTTAACACTGCTTTCTATTGAGCAAAGTAAAGACACACTTGTTTTATTGGTAGTAGTCACCGAGGGGTCGCGTTAGATATGTGATTTATTCTCCAAAGTATTTCTTAGATTATAACCCAGATCCCGCAGGCTGATCTGAAAATAACACATCCATCATACTCATTGTTGATGTTCTCTTTTACTGTCTGATTCTGATGTGTGCTCATATATTAAAGATACATGGATTGGTTGTTGTTGTTTGTTACAAGGAATTTCAAAGGGCTTAAATTTGGAAAGAGTGTGGGAGAGTTCCGGACTGTAGTCTTAAGCTCTTACCTCCAATACTTGGTAAGTAAATTTATAAACCAGACCGCCAAGGTGGCTCAGGCCTAGTAGTCCTAGTACTAAGTAAAAAAAAAAAAAAAAAAAAAAAAAAAAAAAAGGCTGAAGGAAGATCATTCCAGGTTCAAGGCCAGTTTAGGCCAACTAGAGCTTCACAGAGTTTCTTTGGAGTCCCTTGTTCTTGGTTATCGTATTATAATAAGCCTAAAATGAAATGGGAGCAAAGTAAAGCTCAGTAGAAAACAATGACAGGTCTCTAATACTATCTGACCTCCGGCAGACGGGCACAAACAAGTCTGGCTTGCTTTATTCCCAAAGCCACGAGGGGGAGTGGTGGTAAGGGAACATTGAGCCTGAATTAAAACTGTGAACATAGAAAACAGGAAAAGAAAAGGGCAAGAAAGTCCAAAGGGCAAGGGCATAGCCTGTTAAACATAACCTACCTGGTTGAGTAAATAAAAAATTTCCTAATATACTAATAAAAGATGACTCAGTTATCCAGAAATATAAAGTTACTTATTTTTGTTAAAGTTAATTTGCATTTTAGGAAAAGACATAGTATTCTCTGAACTAGTAATTAATGACAGTTTTTTTTTTTTTTACACTGTTGGGGAAATACATTTCACAAAGTCTTTATTGGAAGCTCACCATCTGAAATTGAATGTATTCACATTTGTGCTATTAAAATCTCTAACGAGGCTAAACTTTCTGCAAACTACCATTACCAAGAAAAGATGGCTGGAACTAAAAAGCAAAGAATGCCTTAAAAAATAATTAGTGCTTCCTAAACTCCTGTAGATTGATTACAAGCCTCAGGGAGGTCTTTAAGTTTTTATGATTCTCATTCCTGATCTTAAAGTGTCTGAACTTGACACCTGTGAAGCTACGCTACCTACTATTATGAGTCATAAGTCTTAGATATCTTGCCACAGGACAGACTGGAATGTTTCTCAATCAATGTTGCTTAAGACACTATTCAGACCCTGTCAGTTTTATTTAACAATTGTCTTTTGAATACACACATTGTGCCAGAGACAGTCTTAGCCCCAGTGTGTGTTATATGTCTGAGTACAATGCTGTGGCATCTCTCCTGTTTTCTCTCTCCTCCTTATATGCTGAGGTGTTTTGTATGGGAATCTCCACCCATCAGGGCCATTTATGTGATGTTTTGAATTAAGAGCATGTGATTCCGGTCACTGGGAAATAAATCAACTGTGATTAACAAGAGACCAAAACCATGAAAATGAAAGTTTGCTTTCCTAGGGCAATTGGTACTGGTTGACTGGAGCTGAATAATCAGCTGTGATTAACAAGAGACCAGCAGCCAGGCAGTGGTGGTACATGCCTTTAGTTCCAGCACCACGAAGGCAGAAGCAAGCGGATCTCTATGAGTTCAAGGTTAGCCTGGGCTACAGAGCCAGTTCCAAAGCTACACAGAGTAACCCTGTCTGGGAAGACAGAGAGAGGAGGGTGTGGGGGACACCAGGCATGGCTTCGAGAGTTCAGTGTTCTTTGGGTTCCTAACCTGAGGGTCCAGGCAACACATGTACCCACATAAGTGCTTCTCTTGACATTTCTTGAAGAAAGGAGAAGAATAATGTTTATCCAGCACATCTGCCTGACAAACCTCAGAGACCAGCAGAAATTTACCATTGTTGGAGACAAATAAAACACTCCATGGCCAGCTGTGCGGCTGGGTAGCTGGCCTCTGGCACCCTTCTCTCCTTTTTTCATTCCTCGTTCCTCTTTCAAGCCTAGATCTCCTCCTACTTATTCTCTCTGCCTAGTAGGTCCCACCTATTTCTCCTGCCTAGCTACTGACTGTTCAGCTCTTTATTAAACCAATCAGGTGGTTTAGACAGGCAAAGTAACATAGCTTCACAGAGTTAAACAAATACAACATAAAAGAATGCAATACATCTTTGCATCATTCAATATTCCACAGCATAAACACATGTAGCACATCTTTAAATAATAGTCCATAACAGTAGCTTCCTCCCTATTGGCTAGTGTTCATAGTACTAGAATGTATAATGCAGACTCCTGGGAGAAAAAAGAAAAAGTTTTACCCAGCTGTGAATTCTGCCTGCAAAACCTTCAAGGCAAAATATATACCCATTGTTGCAACACTGGCACAGGCATAGCCAACCACTTTCTGATTGCATTTGAGGCCCGTTCTGTAAGAAGAGATTTATGCGTGGTACCGTAAACCTTGTCAAAAAATCTCATGGCTGGGAGGTCATAATCTTCAGGGAGCAGAGAACCTATTACTGTTGTTTTTCTAAATGGACCTTGTGTCGAGGTGTTTTCTGAATACAGATGTCCATGCCCCTAGAATAGTTCTTCCTGCATGGTCAGCATAGCTCCTTTTTGCAGTGGACACTGGTTAATGCAGTCTTCTGTCTGGATGAAGTTCTGAGAATATGTGGTTGTTGATTGCTGAGCTCTGAATGATTCGTCACTGTCATCCTCTCCACCTTCTGAGCGTTTGAATGTAAGAGCCGTAGGATAAGCAAGAACACCATGAACTGTCGTCGTCTTCTTGACATGACCTGACTGTTGTACTCACAAACTTACAGGGGCTTGGGTTACCATCACAAGACCTGCACAAGACGGAGCATCTCAACAATCCATCTGAATTAGGAGAGACTCAAAAGGCTCCTCTGGAGATGCTATTGGTGGGTAATGGTTCCTGGGGAGGAGGGAGTCGTTTTCTTCTCTGGTCAATCGCTGTTCAGTGCTCCAAGAAATTTCCCCCGACCTGTGCTCAAGCAAGAAGACCTGTGCTCAAGCAAGCAACCCTAATTAAACTTTGGGTCTCAAAACACCAAAGTATCTAAACCAATGGTTCTCAACCTTCCTAATGCCATGACCCTTTAATACAGTTCTTCATGCTATGGTGACCCCCAACCATAACATTATTTTATTGCTACTTAGTAACTGTAATTTTCCTACTGTTACGAATCATAATGTAAATATTGAATATACTGGGTTATCTGATATAGGACCCCTGTGAAAGGTTCTTTGACCTCCCAAAGGGTCATAGCCCAGAGGTTGAGAATCACTGATTTAAACTATGGAAATAAACAAATAAAAAAAATGAATCTAAGGACATAAAGAGAACCATGTTTACTGCAAGACTGTTGATAGTAGCTGTATTAATGACTTCTGGTGAGTGTCCCTGCAAATGCTAGCAGAGTAGCGTCTGTGTGAGGCAAGAAGGAAATCCAGGGCCATCAGGACTTAGTTAGCTGGTGTTGGTTTAACCTTCTAAAGCCTGACAGCGGGCAGGTTTTCTTTGACATATTTAAACATAGTACAGCTTTGAGAAAAGTTTTTCTCATGACAGTTATTGCAATAAAGCATGAATACATATGACCTCTACTATGAAGATGGGTTCTACCCCTTAGGGTCCTAGGATGTAGTGTGGTCTCAGCCACACAGATAGGGCAGAGGTAGCCGGGCTATGAAGTACATGTGACAATCTCCCCTAAGGTTGGGTTCTGCTGATTGAGAAACATAGCTAAAGGTTCAGGGAGAAAAGGTCTGGGATAAACATAATATTCTGGAGGATTCAGATGTGGCCTAGCCCTACATACAGCACAGATCACCAGGCTATTAACTACATCCACTCCCAGTGGAAAGCAGGTATGCACCGCCCTTCCATTGAAGAGACAAGCCTGTGTGCTTAACATTCCTGTTTCCCCTTGTGCTTAGCTATGGGCACAAAGGCCTCATGTCGTTTACGGCTTGTCTATTGCTGAGAAGAGACACCACGTCCAAGACAACTTATAAAAGAACATTTAATATGGTGCTTGCTTAGCTTCAGAGGGGGAGTCTATAACTACTGTGGTGGAGAGCTGGGTGGCAGGCAGGCATGGTGCTGGAGGGTATCTGAGAGTTTACATTCTGATTCACAGGCAAGAGGCAGGAAGACAGATTGGGATTGGACCGGGAGAGGGATTTTGAAATTCTCAAAACCCAGCACCAATAAGCACACTTCCTCCAACAACGGCCACACCTCCTAACCCTTCCATCAACTGGAAGCCAAACATTTAAAAGTGTGAGGCTATCGGGGCGTCCTCATTCAAGCCACCATAATAACAAGAATTAAATCTAATGAACTCTT